CTGTGTACGAGGGTGGTCCGATAAGTACTTAGCCTCACCGCCCGATGGCGCCACTCTCGTAAAAGAAATATTCTATCACGTAGTACAACCTTCTCGATGGTTACTGTCAAGATTTTAGCCGGATCGGAGTTGTAGTTTATTTTTGAGAGCATGTGAAAGCAAGTGTGTCCGTTGATTTTTGAAAAATGGAAAAAGAGCAGTATCGGTCGGTGATTTAATTCTTGTTTTTGGATGGGAAATCGCGCAGCTAAATCAAAAAGCGCTTGGATTCTGTGTACGGTGACTCTTCTCCTTCGATGGCGACCGTCAAAAATTGATTTAACGAGTTTCAACGTGGGCGCACGTCGATTTTTGAAGAGCCACGTCCAGGTGCTCCGAAAACGACTACTACGGAGGATAACGTGACAAAAAGTCACGATCTCGTATTGGCAGATCGACGATTGAAGGTGCGCGAGATAGCTAAGATGGTAGGCATCTCAAAAGACCGCGTGGGTCATGTCCTGCATGAAATTTTGGGCATGAGAAAGCTGTCGGCGCGATGGGTGCCGCGTTTGCTCACTCCGGACAACAAGCGCAACCGTGAGACAACTGCAGAGCAATATCTGACGCTGTTTAAGCGCAATCCGAAGGAGTTTCTGCGTCGTTTCGTGACAGTCGACGAAACATGGATCCACTGGTATATACCAGAGACCAAGGAACAGTCGAAACAATGGACTTTACCCGACGAAAATGCTCCGAGGAAGGCGAAGACTGCCCCATCGGCCGGAAAGGTGATGGCCACCGTTTTCTGGGATTCACAAGGTGTGATCTACATCGATTACCTGGAGAGGGGCAAAACGGTCACAGGGCTGTACTATGCCGAATTATTGGGCCGATTCGACGTCGAATTGCAGAAAAAACGGCCCCATTTGGTGAAGAAAAAAGTGCTCTTCCACCATGACAACGCACCGGCTCATACCTCCGACGTCGCCATGGCCAAATTGGTCGAATTAGGCTACGAACTGCTGCCCCATCTACCGTATTATCCAAATTTAGCCCCGTGCGACTTCCTTTTGTTTCCAAACTTGAAAAAGTCACTCGCCGGGCAAAAATTTGAGTCGAATGAGGAGGTAACCGCTGCCACGGAAGCTTACTTTTCAGACCTTTCGAGGAAACGTATTTTTCAGACAGGTTAAAGAAGTTGGAGCATCGCTGGGCCAAGTGTATCGAACTAAAAGTAGACTATGTTGAAAAATAAAACGCCCCTTTTTCAAAATTTTCGTTCTTCTTTTGTAGGCTAAGTATTGATCGGACCACCCTCGTATAGATGGAGAAAATAATAAATTTGACCCCTAAATGACCTTATGCGGGAGGGGGGGGGGGGTAACCGCACCCTACACATAAAACCTTATCCAAACGTAGAATTTCTCGCTCTTTCCGAATCCGGGATCAAAATTATAGATTACTATTTAGAAAATGACTGACCTTCAAATTACCTTGTAAATAAATCTCAAGGTCAAATCCGATTTCTGGGAAAGGTATCCCTCATTGTCCCAAACAACTTTTGTCCGAACAATTTTTTTGTAGAACGCCAACCGTAGAAAATTTCGGGGTGGTTCCTTTAAAATGGGACACCCTGTATATTGTATACGCCTAGCCAGCATATAGTTTACCAAGCTATATAGAGAAGCTGCCCCCTCTCCAAGGATTCATGTCGATATCATTTATTTATTATTTAATTATTTACTAATAGGGAGGGGATACTCTGTGTGCTCACGGCTAGATTAAAGAAGCACTCCGGGGGGTCAGTGGGAAACACCGTCCACTCCCTGACCACCCACGATGCGTGCGTAGCACGCGCGCGCATGCACATTCACCTATATATGGTTCAAGCCACCTGGACACCCCACGAAATGGCTTGAAACATCCATTGCTTATCTACTCCTGTAAGAAGGGAAGTCGTTTCCGAGCGTCGGCAAAGACAACGTAGGTTCAATTAAGCACATTCTTCAATATTTTTTATGTTTAAATCGAATAAAAATAGCAAAACATTGTTTAATCTATATTGGCATTTTGTACCCTCTATATGGGGTATGTTTTGGTTTCTGGGGATGGAAAAAGATATTGAGGGCACATATTACAACTATTTTCAATAATTTTTGTGTTTCCTATAAGAAAATATATGTAAGTAGCTTGTAGCACAACGTACTGGTTACCTATACAGTACACTGCCATATAGCGAAATATGAATGATTTTTTAGAGGTGGTTATTGGTGGTTATTTTCCATTGAAATTTTTGTATTTTGGTTTTATATATTAATACAGTTATAATTATCGATAACAAACGTTAATGATTATTTTTCGAAACTTTTTTCTTCGTTGCAATTTCACGTTGCGAACTTCAGACACATACTTGGCTTGCTCATTGATATTAATAATTTGCTAAACATTTTGCTAATTAAAGCGAAATCAAGTTATTTTTTATATAGCGTCTTACCTTTGTGCGTTAAGAGCTTCCGCAATATAAGCGGTCTAATTTGTTATATGAAAAAATTATGAAGCGAGCGGTGCTTTGTATTGTTGTTAAATTTAGAAGGAACCACTTTTTGAGTTGTTCGAATTAATTAATAAATTACAAAACAGGAGCAACGCGCTAATAAAAAATTAGCTTAAGGATAGTTATTATTAATTCTAACCACGCAAACGTATTCCAATAGTTCCTTAAAAAGCCAAGAATAATATAAATTATTACTCGTTCAATAATTTATGTGTAATAATAAATTAGACAACTTCAACGCTATCAGTTCCAAATACTTATGGGCAACGCCCTAATAAAAAATTAGCATATGGGTAGTTGTTACTAATTTTGACAACTCAAATTTATTCTAACCAGTTACTAATACTATTATCAACAATTCAAACCTCCTACTTTTTTTAATAATTTTTGTGTAACAAACTCCACAGCTTCAATTAAATAATATCCTAGCATTTATGGGCAACATTATATATAAAAAATAACTTAGAGATGGTAATTATTAATTCTGACACCTGACAATTTTTTCCATACTACGAATAATATTCTCAACAATTAAATTTACTGTTTACGAAAGACCTTTTGTGTAATAAGAAACAACAACAAAAAACTTAATTTTTGCCAAAATATCTATGATTAAATTAAAATAGGGGTAGCTAAGGATAGTTCCTATCTCTTTAAACTTTTTTTTAAGTCACCAATGGCATTTTCAAGCTATTATTAGTTATTGGTTTTGTATAAGCTATTAATTTAATCAGATGTATGCATACGTCTTTGAGAGAAGTATATGATGAAGTGGCAGAATATTCAAGGATACTTTATAAGGGTTGCATGATCTAGTGGTTGGTTTTTTTGTCGAATATGTACATTTTATGCCATATCCAACAAATAAATATTGATTTAAATGATTATTATAAAAGTTCATATTTTTATTCACCATGAACATTCAGAACTTCAAACTCATTAACACTTTCAGATATTGTCTAGAAGTTCATATTGTTCAACAGATGCAATGTTACTAAATCTCGGATTCCCATCATCAGACATGATGTGAAAGTCAATGGACTACAATTTTAAATCAATAATAGTTCTCAATTTACTATGATAACCCTTACATAAATTACTACATACGATTTTATATAACTTCGAAAATGTACTATTTTTTTTTGAGAATCTACAGGAAACTCTTGATATAATCCAATCAAAAGTCTTGTAAAATGAAGCCAAATATTGGAAATCTTTGTTGAAATAATCAACTTGAAAATGTATATGGATACCTATACTAATTTTTGCACTATTGCATTACAGATCCCACATAAGAAACTTATTTTCAAAGTTTCAAATAATTGATTTCCAATTAAATGTTTTTAACAAAATGTTCTTATATAATAAATGTAACCAAAAATGTTTAAATTAACATGAATCATATAATTTGAATGTTCACTTTAAAGTTATATCTAGTTTAATATAATTTAGATAACTATATACAGGGAATACAATCTAAAGATAACGTAATAAAATTAATTTTTTATAAAACCTACATTTCCTTCTTACTTTTTACTTGAAATAGCAATTAATTAGACATTATTATTTTTGTATCAGTTTTCTTTAATTTTTATACAAATGAAAAAAACTATGTTAATAATATAAAAAATTTTTCAAATTTGCATTTAAAAAATTATATCATGAAAATTTTGAAAATATTGTAAATACTGTTCAAATATTACAATGTTCTAGTAGTCTTTATTTATATTACAAGAGTAAAGGTGACATTCCTATATAGAAAAGATTATCTACAATAGCAGGCAACACTTATTGAACTTAAATAATTTCAATGCAATAGGATGTTTGATATATAGAAATTGTTAACATTGAATCATGAAAGTTACTGATTATTAAATATTTTTAATTCATATCTGATCACAAATATCAAGATTTAACAAAATGTAATACTTGATCTATTACTTATTAGAATAATAGACGTTTTAATAATTATATTATTTTTATTGTTTGATATTAATAATTGAACTGAATTGATTATCAGCATTTCTAAAAGATTACAAGTTTTTCATCAAACAATTATAACTAGATTTTTATATATTTTATACTTGTTCTTAGACATATTTAAAATAATGAATATTTCAAATGTTACTTATAATAGTTACATTTTAATAGCTTTTCAATGCAAATTTGAATTATTGTAAAGTTGATTAGATTTATAGAAATTTTTTTAAATAATCAATTTTTCAAAAATGTTTATAGATTAATTATAAATATCAATTTTAATATTAATAACGATCGAAAATAAATAATTTACACTATGTCACTGGTTTTAGAAATTAAAAAAAATATATCAATTATACAATGTATAATTTTTAAATAGACGTTCAATTATAACAAACCAAAACAGACTAGACTTATTTTCTAAGCTTTGATAAGTATTTACGTTGAAATCATTCATACCATACAAACCAACAGATAAAATTACCTAATTCCAACTTTTGAAAGCAGTTTTGTATTGTCCAAAAAGTGTTCTTATTAAAAAGAGAAAAACTTAAATTGTTACTCTGCGCGCGCGCGCGCGTGTGTGTGTGTGACTATGTATGCATATTCACATACACCCCCCTTAGCCCAGCCAGCAAAGTGTAATGGACAGTGAAAAAAAAAAATACCATTCGAAATATCTCTAATTGAACCCTCCAAAAATGCTAATTATTTTAATTGAACCCCTTCATTTGTCCCAAAAAAATAAAAACTATGATAATTTTTTCGTTTTTTGCAACTGCGATATCTTTAGTAATACTTAATATTTTTGCAAAGAAACAAGGCGAAAAAATTGAACCCTTGCTCGTTTTAATTGCACCCCTCTTACTTTTTTAAAATTATTAATATATGTCAAAAACAACAATCTAATTTTATTGTATGTTCTTTCCAAATAGATGGGTTATTGGGTTGTTTGGAAAGAACATACAATAAAATTAACCCATTAAGTCCCAAACGCACAAAATTTTAACGTTGACTTTGACCGCGCATCATTTTAAAATAAACGAGGGACTTTGAACTCAAGGCACATATACTTATGTTTTTGAGGTCGCTCTTTCGATTAGCGGTGTCGAAAATTCCGAAAAATAACGTTTAACCTATTATTTTTTAACAAATATAAAAAAAAAATGCACTTTTTGGACTCGGATTTTTTTTCAAACCTAATTTCAGTAATGTTTCGAATGTCTAGGCAACTTCTAATACAGATAAAAGGTGTTCCCGATACTTGTACTTCAAAAATATGCAGCGAAACATTTCGATATATAGTATGTAACAGGCTGCCGTTTAGTCTATAATATCTCTTGAACGTACCTATATAATGACTAAACGACGCCTAGTTATCTATGTGCTCGAAGCACATCAACCTACCTTGTCTTGGAGTGCGCCTGCGCAGGGTCTCCTCGCTACTCCGAGTTGGGTTCCCCCAGCTCGCCGCTTGGCGGCGCTGTCGCCCTTGCTTAGTAGCGCTCGCGCGGCCGCTGCTGGAAACTTGGTTTGCAGGGCGCCTCTAATCACCTCCGCGCGATCCGTGACAGACTACCGGCTAATTCGAACCGAATGTAAACAGACGCGACCTCCGGACAAAGGAAAGACTAAATAACGATGACTAGATTAAGTAAAGACTATCGTTCACTTTATTTAACCGATTCTATTACACGGGGGTTTTGCCGAGAGACTTGCGCACGCTAGCGCGAATGACAACACACGCTAAATGGGAGAGAGAGAAAATCGCGATCGCCGCGAACTAACCGCTCGCGTGCAACAAACAATTTCTTCGCGCACGCTGCGCGGGATCGCACGGTTACAACAATAATAAAGGGAAGGTGCACCTACCGCGAGAACGATGAGGATACGGTGGCCAACCGTATCCGATATACGCGTCGCTAACTTATTGCTCCGCCACTCGCCGCACTCCGCTGTTATTACTGCTGATGTTGCTGCTGCTACGATTGCGGCTGTTGCTGTTGTCGCTGTTACTGCTGCTGCTGTTGCTGCTGTTGCTGCACTCAGCACACCGCACTACTGTCCTCGCCTCTAACTTCACACCACCAAACGAAAACGCGATAACGGCTCGGAAAAGGGTTAGCTCTACGATACAGGCGGACTGAGTAACACAGTCATACTACTTGTTGAACGCTCCCCTCCCGGTCATTGCCCCTACGCGCCCTCTCTCTCTCGCGAATCGATCGCGGCCTCTCTCGTTCAGCCGCTCATTAACCTCGCGCGAGTCGAACGATTTTCGGTAATCGTTGCAAGTATTATCCAATTCGCGAGCGATTAGCCCGCGACGTCCGTGAAATCTACTCTCTCTCTCCCCATTCAAATTATTGTGTCGACATTGCGTGCGTTTAGACTCTCGGCAAACCGTCCCTTGTACAGGATTAGTTTCGTCTAATAAAGTAGTTAGATACCAATAAGAGACGATCTTATTATTTCGTCTTCCCTTTGTCCGGTGTCGCTGTTATTGTTTACATTTGATTTGAACGCGCCGGTAATCCAACACGGATCGCGAAAGCTGGAGCTGTTCGTCGACCGAGTTGCCTGCAGTGGCCGACGGAGCGCTAGTAAGCTAGCGCACCAGCGCCCCCTTGTGGAAAATTCGCACACCCAAGTTGGATAGCTGAGAGAACACGGCGCATGCGTACACCGGACGAGGTGAGTAAGTGTGCGTGAAGCATACAGCTAACAGAGCACCGTTTGGCCGTATTGATAACCACAATTACCCAGGATTTGCGACTAAGCGGTAGCCTGTTACAATATATATTAATAATTTTGAAAGAGTAAGAGGGGTGCAATTAAAACGAGCAAGGGTTCAATTTTTTCGCCTTGTTTCTTTGCAAAAATATTAAGTATTACTAAAGATATCGCAGTTGCAAAAAACGAAAAAATTATCATAGTTTTTAATTTTTTTTGGGACAACTGAAGGGGTTCAATTAAAATAATTAGCATTTTTGGAGGGTTCAATTAGAGATATTTCGAATGGTATTTTTTTTTTCACTGTCCATTACACTTTGCTGGCTAGGGTAAGGGGGGTTTCACATACTGTAACTAATGTTCACGCTGTAAAAGCTCTTATAAGTTAGCACCCAAAAATAAAAAAATTAAGAACCTGGAAAAACCATTTACTTCATTAGATGAGGCATCGCTTGGACAATAAATTAATTATATTTATTTTTTGCGCGACGTCGACAAAATATAACAAACCCGAATAATTGATTTTGGCGCTGAAATCTAGCGCGCAATTTAGATTTGTTCATAAAATCTATATAAATTCTTCAAGATTTAAAAACTGAAAAATCGTTTAAGCGTCAGAAGCCTCAAAAGCGCCCATTATCAAAGTCACGATAAATAATTAATAGATTTATTGAATTAACTTGTATGCATGTGTGTCGTGCTGTGTGCGCATGCGCTGAAGTGAGCGAGCGTGTGTACTCGTGCATAAACGAACCATCTTTATTCACATATTAAAAATGGGATATAGTAATTATTTTGATTCTATATTAGACGATATTTTGTTAGCAGTTAAAAGTTAGCAGTTAGCAGAGAAAATTGATAAATCTAAGAAACAGTTAAGTTTAGTGTTTGTAACGGTGAATCGCAGTCGTCCTTCCGCAGGTGGCTCGTGACTGCCCGAACAAATTATTTATTGAGGATTCGGGAAGCAAGAGTCGTTCCCACGACTGAATAACGCGTCGAGCGCACGCGTTAATCGCACACGAATTATCTAACACGGGATCAGGAGTGACTTCGGGTATAGAGATTATAGATAAATTCTAAATAACAATAATTTTAATTACAACAACGAAAGAAACAAAGTAACTGAATTTATCCGCGCACAAAATATACGAATCTATTAAAATAAGTGAAATACAAAATAAAAGAAATGAAATACAAAATAATAGAAATGAAATACAAAATAATAAGAGAAATACAAAATAATAAGAGAACAAAATATTATTGTTACAATCAAATACAAATATAAGCGCGCAGTGGATCGGCTGCAGTGCTGCTTACCAAACCGCTTTTTATCCGATCAAGGAGAAAATATACAAAGAAGAACACATCTGCATACAAACTAAGAAAAACAAATCGTTCGAGCAAATTCAATGCGTAACCTCGCAGCCGGCAGAACTGCCGAGCCGCGTAATGTTTACTCGACGCCTCGAACAGAGAGAGAGAGAGAGAGAGAGAACAATGCACCGACCTTGCCGCACGTAGCTTGCGTGTATCACTCCGTCCGCTCTTATCTTCGTTGAGGAGAAAATTCTGTAGCAAACAAAGGATTCCTTTTATAATCTCTCTCGTACTCTTAAATCTCGGTTGATTGGGACTCGGCGATGTTGTTGTTGATGTTGTTACTGTTGTTGTTTCCGTTGTTAGGGCTGTTAGTATTACTGTTGTTACTTTGTTTGTTCATGTTGTTACTATTATTAATTTGTTGTGTGACTACCGTGACTAATACTAGTGTTGTATTCGTTGTTGTTATGGTTATTCCTGTTGCTGTAGTGTCATAGTTGTGGGCTTTGAGTGTATGTGTATGTGTGAGCTGGTGATCGTCGAACGTGTGTGTGTGTGTAGATCGTACCGAATCTCGTCCCCCGAGATGAATTGGCGAGAATATCGCACTCACCGTAGCACACAAAATGGCCGCACGCGCGCACACGCCCGCGTCACCTCGCCGGTAGCCCACGTGCACCGGTGCCGGCCTCACTACACTCGCGGAAAACACACACAAGAAAGAAACTGTCACTCCGCGCACCGGGCACGTATCCTACAAAATCTTCGGCGAGGGCGCGGGAACTCAAACACTTGGAAAAAGGCGAAAAAAACGACGAAAAGGTGTACGCGTGGCGGTCTGTCCAGCTACCAAACAGCTACTGCCGATCTCTCCTTTCTTCGCCAGCGAGGTGCGCGCGCAGATCTGCCGACGACTCGCTGGCTCTCCTATCTTACGTCTCTCTCTCTCTCTCACTGCGATCTTCTTGTCGGCTCCCTCCAATCACCGTCGCTGCCGTCACACCTCGAGAAAGAAAGCAAGAAAGACAACGATTAAAATGTGCTCAACTAGCGCACACTCTCAGCTCCGCAAGGCGCACGGGGATCGGTGAGAGCCTGACGGATAGCAACGGCCGAGCCGCGATTCTCCGTTACATGTTGAAGATCAAAAACTTAGGTAAACTTAGAGAGTATTTAAGTGTTCAAATCACTAAATATAGAGAAAGCAAAATAATTGAACTACAACATAGCAAATATATTGAGAGGGTATTAGGGCGATTTAACATGTATGAATGTAAATCTCAAAACATACCTATGGTAATTAGACACGTCAAATCTAGATATATTGTTACGTCTCACGCAACGGTCGCGAATTGACAAGAGTTCCTCAAATGCGACTGTCTCTTTTCGGTCAACGCGTAAGCGCTTTACCATGGATGCGAGACTAAAACGAGAGCAGGTTGGCAACGTATCTAAAGCACCGATTGGAAACGTGCCAATTTAAATAATTTTACCTGTAGTTTGACTGGTCCAAAATCTCGTACATC